AACCTTTCAAAAGTATATTAATAATTGTTGTCAATGTTGTCACAAATACTGGTAAAATAACTTTCTCTAAAAAATAGTGCAAATGACCCAAATTCTAAATGAGAGATCTTTGTGTCTTTTGTCTCCAGATGGTTGCTGGGTTAAAATGGTGCCATTATATATTCTAAGATTTATTTATTTATGCATACAAGACCTGGCATACAGGCCAGAGATGCAGGGAGTGACAGGATTCAGCAGAGACAGAGCAGGGAGCAGAACATGTAGATCGACTGAAATACACTGCTGAGGGGAGCAGCAGGTGAGACAGGAGAGGTCTGCCTCGCCATGTGGATTTCTCCCTGGCCGGTTGGGGATTGAACTCATGCTACAAAGGCTGTAGATTGTTTCATAGTGCGGTGCTTAACCCCTTGCACCACCAGGGAGTCCACCACAAAAACAATTTCAAAATGCAATGGTTTAATTAAAGCACTGTTGAGCACCTTCATTGACTTTTCCTCCCCTTGTCCAAGCCAAAAAAATAAATAAACAAAAAAAAACCTCTGGCATATGAATTTGTTTCATTTGTAATGCTGCATTTTGAAATTTGTATCCTAAGAAAAACTAAAGCTATTTCTGGTATCTCTATCTTAAATCTGTTCTATCATTATTTAAATGGTGGTATACTTCTCCTATAAAACTAAGGATCTCTTAAGTTCAATAAAATGAAAATTTGACTACTTAATGAGCTTTTGGTTTATATTTGCTTCTTAATGTAGGAAATCTAAACTTTGTTGTTTGTAATTTCACCTAAAAAAAAAAAAAAAAGACGTGTTTATGTATGAGTTACCCAGTAGAAAGGAATAACAGCATAACAGCGCTTACAATGTCCTGAGGTGAAAAATGTGAGCCTGAGTTGTTCATTAGACAAAGTTATGTTGGACAAGGCCTGCGTGTGGACAAAAAGTTGGTGGAGTGACCTATGGAGTTTCTCTGGCCAGGCGCCTGACTTGTGGCAGGGCACCGCCCCCTGGCGGCGACGGAGGGGGGCGGCGGGAGGGGGCGGGGCCGGGCTGGGGGAGCTCCGGCAGGTGCCTCAGCCTCTGAGGTCGCTGCTCAGAGACCCCGGGGACCCCACATCATCCGCCCTGGGCCCCTGGACACCTCGGACCGTCGCGGAAACAGTGGGCCAGACCCCGAGGATGGGTCTGAGAGGGGGTCTCTGGCCCGTCCCCGGTGGGCCACTGCGGCTGGGCCGAGAGTCCACGAGCAGCGTGCGCGGGAGCGACCCGGTACTGATGCCCTGGGGACGCCCGGGTTGTCCCAGGAATATTCTCTCTCTGCCTAGAATGCAGGAGGCAGACTTGTCAGAGGCAAGAGATCGGGGTGCTCCTCTGGGGGGGGGCGCCAGGAGAGACCTGTCCCTGCCCCTGTCCGCCTCTCTGCAGGCGGCTGCCCTGTGCGTGGACAGTGTCCGCGTCTCCAGGGTCCATCCACAATGTCACATGTGGTCTTTTATTCCCGTCCGCGTTTTCACTGAGCTTTTTAAAAATAGCAAATACACGTCTGTGTGTAAACTCTATCTGCTCTTCATGAAATACAGCCCCTCCCCCCATTCTAGAGAGGCCATGGCCTGAGAAGGTCAGAGTGAATGACCTTCACTGTGGAGCACTCCCTGGGACACCCCGCAGGGCATCGGATTGGATTCGGGTTGGGCGGGTCAGCGCTGAGGTGAGAGTAGCTATAGATTTCCTGTGGGGGAGCCTCTGCTCTGTGCGGCAGGGTCGGGGTACACACTGGACAGCGAGCAGGAGCGCCCGGAGACCCAGGATTGTGAAAACTAACGAGGAAGAGCAGCTGGGACACTGCTCAATAAGCACTAACTGAAGAACCAGACAGTCAATCACAGAACTTGGGAAAACAGGTGCCTTAGATGCAAATAAACTATGTTTTCTCCAGAGTAGATTCACACCTTAACGTTATCATCGACTGGCAGACATCCCAGCTCGGGTGTGTGTCCTCTGTTCGGATCAGGCCCTGCTGTCCCTTTGTCCCAGTATGGCCAAAATGACCCTCATCCCTAGTTCCTGTGCACACATGGAGGCTCCAAGCAACATCAGGAATTCCCCACTTACCACTGATCAGGGCTGAGGACTGACACCCTGGGAGGTGTGACAAAACCATCAGGCTAGATCTGGAAAAAAAATTACTTTTTGGTTTCCCATTCTTTTTAAAATATGTAGGCTCGGGCCTGCCTGGTGGTGCAAGTGGTTAAGCATCAACACTATGATGTAATCCGTAGCTACTACATCAAGAAATTGATCCCCAGCCAGGGAGGTGACCCCATGGTGGAGCAGACCTCTCCTCCCGCCCACTCTCCCCTCAGCAGTGTATTTCTGTCAGTCGGCAAATCTGCTCCCTGCTCTCTCTGCTGAATCCTCTAAGCCCACCACCTCTGGCCTGTACCCTAGTTCTTGCACGCACAAATAAATAAGAACTAAAAAAATAAAAAAGTAAGCTCTTTGCCTATTGGTAGGAGACAGTGGCTCTGCAAGTGGATATTGGAATCAATCAACCCTGTGTTTATAATCAATTATTCCCCATATATATCCTTGTTTATTCCTTTCTGTAATTTCAGAAAAATAAAAGAGACTCATTAATGTATCTTCAAATTTCTGAAGATTACAAACTATAGGGTCCCTCCTGGTGACGCAGGGGTTAAGTCTCAGTACTATAAACCTATCCACAGCCACTGCAGGACGAGTTGGAACCTGCCAGGGAGCTGACTCACATGGCTCATGGGGGAGGGGCAGCTGCCCTCAGCAGTGTATTTCAGTGGATCTGCCTGTTCTGCTCCCCACTCTGGCTCTGGTGAATTTTTCTCACTCCCTGTAATGCTGGCCTACATCCCAGTTCTTGTAGCATAAATAAATAAAATAAGTATTTTAAAAAGATTATAAATTATTGCTTAGCACAAAGGATAAATAAAATATAATTTTTATAACAAGATTAACTCCAAATCCAGCTAGCTCTCTCTTTTGTTGAATCATATTTTAGAGTGTGTTTAGGGAAAAAGAAATCACCAGAAAGGATCTATAATCATCACACACTTTAACATAACCTGATTCCAGTAAGATAGTAACAGGCCATGTGTCACTTTCAGTGTTTCTGTGGCATCCCTATTTGTGGGTGTCTGTGTCACATGTGGTAATGTCCTCTATTTCTATGGTGTGATCACAAGATTTCCATGGAACAGGGTCAGGTGGTTGATGTCAGTGAAAAAAAAGCACATATTCTACGTTTGCTCTGGGTGCTGTATTTGTTGCGTGCATCTGAGTAAATAACACATTAAACAGGATGTCACTGATGGGTGAGAGTCACTCGGATGGTTGAGGTAAGGAGAGTAATTAGAAGAGGTGAGCTGCCCTTCCTGGGTTAAGGGACGACTCACTGTTGAAACACCTGTGTGCAAGGGTCCTGGATAGTATAAACGTGAAATTTCTGAATGACTAAATGAACTCCATTAAGTGGGTGAAGAAACACAAGGCCACACTATCATAATCTTCTTCTCTGAGTAAGCACAAATGTGTGGCTGTCATTATAAGTATTCTCCCTGCCTTTCATGACAATTCTTCACCTAAACATGATTCACACACGATTTCAATTTTGTCTGGTATCTAAAATTTAAATCAGTCATGCTATGTTAATTTTATATCTTGACTCTTTCACTCAACAACATGGAGGCAAGGTGACCCACATATTGGATTTAGCTAGAGTCTGTATTTTTGCTGTTGTATAGTATTCCACCAAATGCAAAGTGACTTCTCCCTTCTGTTCTACATGCACAGTATATTTTTTCATAAAATTTTTATGTGCATGCTGGAATAAAACTATATTTGCAATTTTGTATCGTTTTTGTCATTTAATGTTATAACATAAGTATTTTGCAAGTCATTGATAACTATTCAGAATGATGGTACCTAATTGCTACATTTATTGTCACATATTTGACTGTTTCCTCGAGTTCTGATGGAGATCGTTTCCTGTATTTGTTAGTACAAGAAAGTGCTGGTTAGCATCTTTATGGATATACATTTTTATTTGTGTCCACAACATTTCCTGAGGTCATTTCTCAAAAACTGCATTACTATTTCTTTTAATGCACATGCATATATATAATATTCCAAATTCTAATAGCTGAATCCAAGTTCCCCACAGAAGGGCGATACAAAATTTTCCTGAATGAGCGAGAACCCCTATTTCAGCGGGTTCTTGCCTCCACGTCATTCATCTCACCATCTTGAAGGCTCTGACATCACACACTCCTGCTTCCTTCACCCCTCTGCGCGGGCCTCCCCCTTCCATGACTCTCCGCGGCTGCGTCTCCCCATGGCCGGGCTGACCCGTCCCTAGGCCCCGGCTCCATCCCCCCTGTGCCCCTGGCCAGGCCTGGGGCCTCAGCCCTCCATTATCCCGCCTGGGCGGCACCGCCCCCACCCAGCCACCAGGCGGCGCGCGCCTCGTCTCCGTGCCTGTCACCACCGCGAGCCTGTCCTTCCTCGGCCTCGCCCCGCCCCCTGCGTGTTGACATCACGTCCCTGCGCGCTGACGCGGGATCGGAAGTGGCGGAGATGCGGGGCCTGGAGCTCCTGCCATGTTGGAGTGGACCGAGGCCAGAGGAAGGAGCAGCCCCGGGGGCAGCGCGCAGGCGGGGAGCGCGCCAGCTGGTGGCGGGGCGGGGAGAGGCAGGTAATAATGGGGGGGCGGGGCGCCCCGTCACTCCCTTGGGGGGCAGCGGGTTCGGGCCTGTGCGGTCGCGGGTGAACAATCCTCGCGTGTTTTCATTCACGGGCGCGACTTGCTGTGGAGTCGCGTGGAAATTCTACGTTAACGGCGTCGTGGAGACGCGGGGTGTTCGCCTCCGTGTAGTTGGTTTTCTGAGCTTCGGCGCAGCAGGACGGGCGGGGGCGCCCCGTGAGCACCCGGGGTTCTCCCGCTGGCCCCGACCCTGGGCCGCCCCGACACCCGCCCCTGCAGCCCTGGCCCTGTGCCCGCTCCCGCCTCCCCCGCTGCTGGGGTCTCCTTGGCACTCGCTGCTCCAGACTCGGGGTGAAGCTCTTGCCTGCGGGAGCCCCGTTTCTTCAGGAACCACCCGGAGCAAGAGGGAGGTGAGGACAAGTCGCTGCTGGTGGCTGATGCAGAGCGGGCCAGTCAGGGGACCCGGGGTGGGGCTGTCTGTGGGTGGAGAGCTCTGCGCGGGTCATTTTGGGTCCTGGAGGAACGTGGGGGTCAGGTCGTTCCTGAGTGTGACCCCATGGGTGGCCAGCGCCCCGATGGAAAGCGCGTCCCCCGTGTTTGTTCCCAGCGCCTCCCTACTGCACTGATCACCCCTGTGGTGGGTTTGCCGGGCTCCCCGCTGTGTTCCACTGATTTGTGTGTTTAATTTCTGTGAACTTAGAATATAATTTGGGGAATTATAAGTTTACATGTGGTAATCTTCTCTAGGTCTGACACCGCCTCCCCACTCCAGGTCCAGCAGGCAGGAGGGCAGAGTCGTGTCCCAGTCTCCTGGGGGCACAAGTTCTGACCCAGGGGATTGCTGGTTCCTGGGGTTCTGCATTTCTCACAAAGGGTCTGAGATGCTGCCCCTGCTGGTCTTGGGCCCACATGTGAGGGCTGCAGCGTTGCTTCACTGTTGTGCAGCTGATGTGGTACTTCAGAGCCTGGAAGAGGGACCTTGGACCCGTGGACACTGCCTCAGGAGGCGACTTTACACTCTCCCTTGAAGAGAGTCCAGGCTTCCCTGACTCTTGACTGACCAAGAGCCACACAGCCTGCCACACGCTGGCTACAAGTGTTTAGTTTTCTAAAATGGGTTATTATTAACCGACTTCTTGCAGTGAAAGCAGTGGCCCTCTCTGTGTTACTAAAGAACACACCCAACAAACCTTTCAGCAGGGTCATCTGGGCGCTGTCACTAACAGGGAAGGAAACTTTCTAAATGGGGAGCATCTTTGACACTGAAGGGTTCTTTTCTAAGATCTTGAGATATGTTCTCTATAGATGGTGCTAAAAGGATCCCTCCTATTTCAGGGATTGAGTAAACCACAATGACTCATGGAAACTGTATATTTTGGAGAAAAACCCCTTTATGTGTCTTTTTTAAAGATTTTTTAAAGATATTTATTTATGCAAGCACTGGGGTGCAGTCAGAAGCTTGGGAGGGAGAGAGAATTGACCAGAGCCAGAACGGGAAATAGAACAGGCAGACTGACAAAATACAGTGCTGAGGGATGCAGCTGGCGTGGCAGGAGAGGTCTGTTGCACCATGTGGGACCCTCACCAGTGGCCAGGGATCAAACTGGCGCTGCAGAGGCTGCAGGCAGCTTCCCAGCCCAGTGCTCAAGTGCGGTCCCACTAGGGAAGGCCCTTTTTTAAAGCTTTTAAAAAAATTGCATAGAAAAACTGTGGTGCAGGCCAGATGTGTGGGAGTGTGAGAGGATTCACCAGAGACAGAGTAGGGATCAGAACAGGAGGATCTTCTGAGATACCCACATGGCATGGCCGACCTCTCCTATCTCCCTGCTGCTCCCCCCACAGCAGTGTATTTCGGTCCATCTGCCTGTTCTGCTCCCCACTCTGTCTCTGGTGAATCTTTTCACCCTTCATCACCTCTGGCCTGCACCCGGCTCTTGTATAAAAGTAAATCAGTCTTTAAAAAAATGCATTTTCTCTAACTGTTTCTCTAACACAGCAGGCTTAATTGCTGCACCTACCAGAGAAAGTTCATAGAGATCTATTCTAGATCTGGTGAGGGAGGGGATGCCTCTGCAGGGCCAGAAGTATTTTTCAGGATGAGACTCCCCTTTAAGAGAATTTATTTATTTATTTTGTTTTAGGGTCTTCCCTGTCCTTAAAGACCATCTCTTTTTTTCTTCTTTTCTTACATCCTTGTTCATTTTTGTCTAGTTACTGGTTTCTCCGCCAGGGGTGGTCCCCATAATGCTCCCACCACCATAGCAGCTGTGACCCATCACCACAATCCTTTGTGCTCTTCCCTCCCTCTGTTTAGCCCCCTCCCTCCCACTACCTGCTGGATGCCTCAGCTCTTGGTCAGCCTTCTAGGGTTGTATGTTTCTTTACATTTTGTTCAGTTTCTCTGTATTTCACATCTGATATTTCTTCTCCTGATTTATTGTGGCCAGCATAATCCCTTCCAGCTTCATCCATATCACCACAAGTGGCATGAATTTGTCTGTTTTCATTGCTGAGTAATATTGCCTTGTGTATCTACACCACACCATTTTGATCTATTCATCTGTTTTGTGGCATTGAGTTGTTTCCATGTCATGGCTATTGAAAATAGTGCTGCAGTAAATAAAGGAGTTCAGGTTTCCTGGGTTTTTTTGACCCTAGGGTAGATTCCAAGGAGTGGACTCACTGGATCTTATGTAGACCCATTTTCAGTGTTCTGAGATACATCCACACAGCCGACCATTGTGGCTGGAAGAGTGTGCCTTCCCACCAGCAGGGTAGGAGGCTCCCTTTTCTCCACTGCTCCTCGAACATTTCTTGTTTCCATGCTTTTTTTTTTTTAATGTGGAGCATTCTTACTGGAGTGAGGTGTCATCTCTGTGGTTTTGATTTGCATTTCCTTGGCACTAGTGATGCTGAACCGTTTTTCTGTGCCTGTTGGCCATTTGCATGTCTTCCTTCCAGAAGCGTCCTTTAACTTCTGCCCATTTTGGGGACTACATTGTTTGTTTTTTTGAGTTATGTAAGCTCTTTGTAGATCTTTGATAATAGTCCCTCATCTGTCATATGGTTTGCAAATATTTTCTTCCATTCAGCGGGGTCTCTCTTTGTTTTGATCATTGACTCTTGCTGTTCTGAAGATGTTTAGGTTTATGGAGCCCCAACTGTTTACATTCTCCTTTGTTTTCTTTGCTTCTGGAGAAGAATCCTCAAAGACGTTCCTGAGGATTGTGTCATGGAGTTTTTGACTGTGTTCCCTTCTGTGTATTCTATGGTTCCAAGTTCCACATGCAAGTCTTTCATCCACTTGAGTTGGTTTGTGTATAGTGTGAGGTAGTGGTCTATTTAGATTTTTTTTTTCATGTTGCAATCCAGTTTCCCCAGCACCATTTATGGAAGAGGCAATTCTTTTTCCAATGTATATTATTTGCTCCTGTGTCATAGGTTAGTTCCTCATTGTTCTCTGTGTCTGTTTATGTTCCAATAAAGATTTCATTATAACAGCTTTGTAATATTGTTTGATGTCTGGGAGTGTAATACCTCCTTTCTCCCCCACCCCTTTTATTAAGAACTATTGCTACTAGAGGTTTTTGTGATCCCATGTGAATTTGAACCATTTTGGTTCCATTTCATTGAAGAACACCACTGTAATTTGTATTGGAATTGCATTGAATTTGTAAATTGCATACAAATAGGAAGCCCCAACTTGGTTTGTTACGTTTTTCCAGTTATGGAACATTCATAATCAGAGTGTTAATAAAAAAGTAGGTGTTATTTTCTATAATTTCTAAAAAGGTGTTATTTTCTATAAATTCTAAAACAGACAAAGTAGGTCTGTTCTCTAGAGATGAAGAAAGAATGTTTCAGATTGCACAACAAAGGTATTTTATCATGTAATAGATGACAAGTTTCTAATCGTATAATATTAGGATATTCTTCCACTTTTCTGCTGATGAAACTGTAAGTAAGTCCGTCCTTTTCTCATCTGCTTTATGTGCCACCAGAGAAAATGTTGCACTCACGTGACATAATTGCAGGATAGTGCCAGTGTGCTTTATAAAGAAATCAAAGAGAGGAATTAATTCACGAAATTCAAAACATGCAACTTTAAAACAGGAAATTGATAATAAGTTAGAGCCACGTCTCTGGTCACCTGTGCCTGTGAAATTTACGATCCTCAATTGTGGGATGGTCATCAGACGCTGGACAAGGCAGGGCCAGATCCACCATCCGTGGACTGTCCTTTCTGAAGCTGTGCCTGGGGTCTGAATTTGTACCTGGCAAGAAAGGACATGTCACTGCCGTCCTGGATGGGCTGGTTCACGTCCTCCTTTCCTTACCTCCTGGGGAGAGGAAAGGGAGGAACCAGATGTTTCCCGAGGGCTGTCTGTAATCATTCCCTCGTTCCTCGCTCCCTCACAAAAGACAACCTGTTGTGTCATGTCATTTATTTACAGCCTTAAAAAGTGCTTCAGTGGCTCCCACTGTCTGCACTCAGGCTAAAGTCCAAGCCTCCAGACAAGCTTGCAAGAGTCTTGCCATTGGCTCCTGCTGTCTCAGGCCCGTGGCCCCTCTCTGACAACCTCCTGTGTCAGGTACCCCTTCCAGGGAAAACTGTGGCATCTCAAGCTCCTTGTCACAACTCTTGCAGCATCTGTTGATGTTCACTGTGTCCCTGATGCCTCCGATGGTGCTCTGAGCTGAGGGCTCAGCTCAGCTGGTGCCCCTGGCATATAGCAAACAGTGGATGCTTGGCAACAACAGGTGAAGGGGTCGTGACTACCTGTTGAGTCAGGGGATACTGGAAACCGATGCTCACGTATAGGAGTAAAAATCTATATCCTCCACCCCAGGCCTACCTGAGCCTAGAACATTCTATTTTGGCAGAGAATGTCGTCTCAGTGCTCTTGCCAGTCAGTTCCTCTCTCTCCTTATTCAATGCAGGTGGAAGCTCAAACCTGCGGGGGGGAGTGCTGGTGCAGCCCTGCCCGCCTCTCTCTCAACTGTCAGGGTCCTCGATGCCAGGAATGACCCTGTCAGGCGGGCACTAATCCCTCATGGACAGAGGGGAGGGTGCAGTTGTTGCATCCCCAGGGTGGGGCTTCTGTCAATGGGGAGGACTAAGGTGCTCATAGAGTCTGTGCAGCTTCCATCCCAGGCAGCGACTGGCTCCAGTGGGACCCGGGGTGTGGTGGACAAAGCTGCAGGGCGAGGCTCCTGGGTGGACCGCGGTACATTTTTACCTTATTCCATTGTGTCCTCTGCTCAGAGCACTCAGACCACAGCAGTGATCAGACCTTCCCATGCCCATGTGTCTCCTGGGGATTCCCTCACAGTGTGGGTTCTGACCCAGTGGGGTGCTCAGGAATGAATCCGGACCTCTGTGCTCCTCCGTGCCCAAAACGCAAACTGCCAGAGTCTGGTGGTTTTCCACATCCAGCCCTCCCTCCACTGGGTCCTCCTGACCGTTGCCCCCACCCCATCCCCGCTCTGCCTTCAGCTACCCACAGGGAGATGCTCCTCACCCTCCCCCTGGGCTCGCCTTCTGCCCAGATGAAAGCACAGTGGGTGCTGCCCCACTGGGTTCTGCAGGACCAGGTTACTCCCTCCCCTACTACATGGCCACAGCCCTGACTATGACTTCACTCCAAGTCTTGGGGGAGCCCTGACAGGGGATGACGGGACTCACACACAGTGGTGACACCCATGCACATTGTCCTGCTTCATTAAGGCAGTGTGGATATTCCAAGTGAAGTGGAGACAAGTAGCTCACTTTTCCTCCACAGATTGTGACGGTCTCAACACTCTTAAGATCCATGAGGAAGGCTCAAGTGTCATTGGGTGGAAATGTGGGTGAGGATGCCCATTTTATTGTGTCTGTACGCAGTTCCATTTCAATTTTGCTCAGATGGGTTGAGCTTTAGACTAGAACATTCACTGCCTTTGTTGAAAATCTCCATGTCAAATACAATACAGGACATGGGCAGACATCGCCCGAGTCTTCTGGCACAGACATTGCCAGTGTCTTCGTGACGTTCTTTCGAGGACGGCTGATGTCAGTTTGTTTAGAGTTAAATATTTTCAGATAAAGATACAATTCCTTTTTGAAAAAAGGGACTTTAGATATTGTTGGTGCGCTTATGGTCCCTTGACATGGCTCTGCTCATTTGCAGAGTTTTTTTTTTTTTTTTTTTCCTCAGTTCCTCATTGGCGTCTTAGCACCCAAATAATTGATGGCACTTCTGGCCTCGTAGGGTGGCAAGCCTTCCCGGAAGTCAGCCCACGGCTGCACTTCTGCATAGTAGAGCTCTCTGTTCTGCTGCCACTGTCTTTGTTGTTGACTGTAGACCCTCTGCTGCCCTCAGGATCTTAGCTCTAGGGGGAGGCAGAAAATGACAGGGTGCCATCTGCAGGGCACTGGGATGGCTTTCAATGTGGGACGAGTTTATTGGGAACACAGGAATTTCATTCTATTCTGTCCTATTTTTCTGGTTTGTGTTTTGGTAACGGCGATGAACTAGTCAGAGCAAGGATCTTCCCGTCATTTCAAATGTTGTGTTATGAAACATCGTGGCTCCACTCACCATTTTGCCTTTTTCCTTTCCACTGGCATGTGCGTGCACAGCTTTTACAGTGCTTGTGTCTGAAAGCTGGACGGGTCTGGATTTTGAAAGAGTGTCTTATTTCACTTTTTTTTTTTAAAACCAAATCAAATCAATATGAAGCTTCTGGGTGAAATAATAAACTTAAAAATTTAGAAATTAAAAAAAAATGGCAAAATGTGTTTATTGGTATTAACAGATGAGCAGGAGTCTAGGTTCAGGCCAGAAACACAAACCCCTTCACTGAAATAGTTGAGGTGAGCTTGACTCTCTCTCTACATGAAGCCACTCTGCCCGTGCCTGCCTGACTAGCAGGAAGGCCGCATTTTCATCCTTGTGAAAAGTTCTTGTATGACCACAATGGAATGATTTACTTCAGTTGTCATGTTACTGGTTCCTTTCCCCCTGCCAAGGATCAGAGATGTGAATGCCCTGATGATGTGTTCATCCTAAGAGAGAGCCTGTACCTTCTAGAAAACTTGAAGGGTAGAATAAAATCAAAGTGATCAAGGGTCAGCTATGATTTTTCATCCGAAGAGAAATGCTTTTATGAGCTTGTTGACATTCACCTTCATCATTTTCAATACCTTGAATTGTGAACAGTAATACCCGTGTATCAGGGCAGGTAGGATACATGTAGAATTTCAGAATCACAAAATTAACTCCCCTTCACTGGATGAAGAAACACAAAATCAAATACCATCCTCTGTGTCACTGATTCTGCACAGTAGGTGACCCTCTCAATCACTGTTCCTTTGCTCACCATGACACATTCCCACACAATCATGTATTATTGAATGTATAATAAAAGCAGGCTTTTTATTTTGCCTGGTGTTTAAAATATAAATAAATCATATTATGTTCATTTTCCTCTCTAGGTTCTTTCACCCAACAGTACATGGGCGAGGCGATCCACAGGCTTGGCTGTGGCCAGAGGCTGGTGTTCTCACTGAGTAGAGTATTCTACTCAATGCCAAGTAAGTGTCCCTTTCTATGGCACAGGCACGCTGGATCATTCCATTCATATTTTCTATCCAAGCTGGAATAGCACCACCTCACGAACCATGCACGCCCATTTCTTCAGGGATCACGGTGGCAGTTTATGTATGCGGGACTCTTGGACTGCTCCTGGGGTTTTCACTGAGGTTGTTTCCCAGCATTTGTTCCTGTAGATAAATGAAGTGCCAGGGACATCTCCACAAGTACATATTTTTCCTTTTCCAAAGTCCTTTCCCAAACACTGAACAGCTCTTTCTCAATGGCTGATTCTCAGGCCCCAGAGCCACGGGAGGACGGCAGGGACTTCTGTCAGGAGTGAGGGGAGCCTCACATCCGTGCTTCCCAGCACCACTTCATCCTCGCCCTTAAGGCTTTGGCACCATCTGTCCCCCATCTGTCCCGCACCGCCAGTCCCGCCCTTCTCCCCGGGTGCAACCTCTCCCTGCTGGGCCTCCAGGCGCTCCCTGCTCACGGTAGGTCTTGGACACCATGCGTTTTGGGTCCGGGTCCTCTCCTTCTCTGACAGCTGTGGGGGGCTGGGGGCCTGGGGGATGGCGAGGGTGGATTTCAGCTCCTCGGAGCCCTATTCTTGTCCACTTTGGCACCGAGCCCTTGGGCAGGGGCAGCTCAGTGCACCCCTCCCCGCCGGCTCTGTCCACGCTGCTCCCCGTGTTCCTCGGCCTGCCGGGCCACAGGAAGTTCCCTGAATATGTGGGGGATGTCTTCCCCGCAACCCCATTGCCGCTCAGGGCCTGGCAGTCCTGGTGGGAATGTCTGGGCCAGGAAAGGGTTAGGTGGGCAGCACTATCCCCTTGTTGCTGCGGGCAGTGTCCCGGGAGGAGACAAGGGGGCGCAGGGGAAGGCTGAGGGTCTCAGGGCAGCCCCGCTCTAAAGCAGGTTGCTGGATTGTGGTCCTCACCCTCTGGCTTCAAAGGGACTCACACTGCAGGCACCCACAGAAGGTTAACAAAGGTTTATTTACAAGGGAAGGTGAATGAGGAAATGAATGACTCAGGGAGAAAAGGGAGATAAAGTCTTAAATGCGTCCAACCCGTACCTCCGACCTGGAATCCCAATGACCCTCCGAGAACAAACCTGCCTGGACAAGAGCACGAGCCAAGTCCCCGAGACCCCCTAACAAGGCTGGTTTTATTTACAAACAGAGAAGATGGTCGCTTAACACTGCCCTCAGGTCCTCGCAATTTCCCTTTGGGGATCATGGGACTTGTAGTTCCCAGTGACTTGACAGAGTGGGGTTGGCGTCCACAAAGCCCATATGGAGTTTGCTCAGGACATCCTTTCCCCCTGTAGGGGCAGGAAGGGCACAGAGCAGGTTTTCTATGATTCAAGCAGACCAGGTAAAGGAGAGCCCTGGAGTCCTCAGTGGGTTTCTCAGGCTTTTATTGAGAATTTACATGTAGTACAGCTACCAGATACATGGCACTCAGGGGTGCTGGAGGAGCCAGGAGTCCACAGGCCTCCAAGCCCTGGCAAGTCTTCACTCTGGCTGGGTTCTCTGGTGTTCTTTCTCCCCTTTTCTCTCCTGCCTCTCTCTTGCTTCTTCCTCCTGCCTCTGCTTCTGCTTCCCTTGGTGACTCTCTTCACTCCTCCCATGGCCCATATAAGTGAATAACACAACAATGTAACAACTGGAGGTGCCCTTCATGCAGGGCAATCCTAATGGTAGGATGGCAGAAAAGCCTGAAAACCATTTACCCTACACCCCCCAATAAGGGGAGGGGGGAGCCAAGCGAGGACCGGAGCCCAACACTGCTTTCCTCTTCTGCAGGGTGCGTGGATGGTGCCTGAAGCCTGCTGGGGTGGCTGCCTAGGAGCCAGTGAAGGTGTCCCCCCTGCAGCTTTAGGCCCCCCAGGAATGGAGGCCCAATCAACACGAGTGGCCCTGGGTACGCAGGACAATTGAGCCAGATCCCAAGGCTGGCGTCCCCTGGGTCCTGCTGCTCTTCCACCCTATTCTGTCATTTCTTTATTTCTCGGTTCTCTCTGAGTCCTCTCCCTATCCCCGCTCCCCCAGCCAGTCTCTGGCAATTGGCGCCCAAACAGGGGCCTGAGGGGAGGACAGGCTCCTGCCCCCACAGTGGGGGATACAAGGGCGCAAGAGCCTCAAAGGTTGATAGGCACAGGCCTGAGGCCCGGCTGGGTGGGGAGGACTGGGGGCTCCTGGGGAGCAGATGGGACAAACTGATAATGAGAAGCCTGAGTCTGTGAAGCTTCTTGGAAGTTTGCTGAGGACCTCCCCTGGTGGTGGGGTGCTTGAGCACTGGGCTGCGAAGCTGCCCACAGCCTCTGCAGCGCCGGTTCGATCCCTGGCCACAAGGGAGGGTCTCACATGTTGTGCAGGCATCTCTTGCTATGCCTGCTGCTCCCCTCAGAAGTGTACTTTGTTGGTCTGTCTGTTCTGCTCTCCACTCAGACTCTGGTGAATTCTCTCTGGCTTCTGTTCAGGTAATCTAAAAATTGTGATGCTCTTTTACTCTCAGGGTACTTTGCTGAGCCTTGTCAGAGGAAGAGAGCTATTCTTAAATCACTCTGAATTTCATCCATTGATGGACTGATGCTGACCGCAAGGTGCCAAAAGACATCGGCATTCAGGGGCAGCGATGGTCAGAGCACTGGTTTGGTGCATCACATAACTCTACCGGGTTTTTCTTCCCTGTGTGGTTGCCATTTCTCCTGAGTGTGGGGAGAGGTCATCTGTATTTTGATGTAGAATTTGCTCTTTGAGCTGCTGTCCAGGGCACCCCAGGATTGACTTCTGACTCGAAGGCATGATCACGATCAACCCTAAAGTGATACACAAAGCCGTGTGACTCCTTTGTAATTGCTCTCACTAAACTTACCCTGTTTTCAAAGCCTTAGGCTTGTAGGGTGACAACTGGAACCTGTGATTTCTGCCAACAACACTCTGCATTTTTGGAGTTTGAGATTTTTTTACACTAAGCCTATGGAGAAAAAACTGTAGCTGTGCAAAATATTCCTCCTGGCATAACTAAGAAAACGGCCTGTGTCTGCATGTTGTGTCTGCAGGGCCTTTCCTTGTGCCTGTCTTGGCCTCTAAAAGGCTTTCAACATTCTGAACAGAGAAATGTGATAAAACTAGTACAAGTGGTATGTTCCTTAATCCCCTTCCTCCCTCTCAGGTCTGCACCTGGAAACCTACAGCAGCTGCCCCCCTCACCCCCCCTGGCCTGGAGCCTGTGACCTAGGTCTTGGGGCCTGTGGACCCGTTTTCTGCCATTGGGTTCTGGCATGTGGGTCATGCTACCCACTCCTGAGTGACAGGCACCTGTTTTCTCTTGTTGTCCTCGGGCGCCTGTGGCCTTCAGCACCTTCATCACTCTGAGCACAGTCCCCCCACCCTGCCCGTGGTCCCCCATGTCCACCCCCGTCCTCGCCCTGTGTCATCCCCTTTCCAGCTGGGGTCCTCAGGCCGTGCTGTGGGTGGGTCTGGGCGCCTCCCCAGCGCATTTCTTGTGCCCAGGCTCCCGCCAGCAGGGCCCCCGTCCCGCAGGGCCAGGCCATCTTTCTCTGGCCCAGAGCCCGGGTGCAGCTGGGGCCGGGCTCCCTCTCCGGGGCCTGTGTCCCCGGCACCATGTCCTGGGCGCCTCTCCAGTGAGGCCCGTGAGCGGCAGTGACAGGCCCACCCCTCCAGACAGGTGATGCCCTGTGCGTCTACTGACCCATCTGAGTTCACGAGGTCAGGCTGCCTGTCAGTCTCAGGCGCCAACCCCGAGGGGCCTTCCAAGTCAGCCGGAGCCCGGCTGGGTGGCCGGGCAGGGCGGGCATCAGGGGCGAGGCCAGCCCTGGAGCTGCGCAGTGGACACCTGGGATAAGATGGGAGCCAGGCGCGCCAGGCGCGGCCTCCGTCCAGGCAGCTAGGCCTCAAGCGGAGCCGACGGGTCTGGGGCCGGTGCTGACCCGACCTGCGGACGGGCGCCCGGTCTCCCTCCTTCTTCCCTGCCTCTTCCCTCGCGCAGCGGCGGGGACTGTCCTGCCCGCGAAGGGCCGGGCCTCGCGCCTCAGCAGCCGCCCGCATCCTGCAGTCGGGTCACCCAGCAGCAAGGCCTGAGGCTTCTGTGCGTTGGGTCTTCCGAGGCCCGTGGGGATGGGGGGGCCGAAGACCCCAACAGTGGGGAGCCGGGCAGGACACGGGTGGACACGGGGAAGGACGCGGGGACACGGGGTGGGCCGGGCGGCTCCGCCCCATGGAGCCCCCCCCCCCCGCGCACTCGGGAGGCCCCGCCTGAACAGAGCCCTCCCGGCCCCCAGGCGGCGGGGGCCAGTCCTGTCCGGCTCCGGCTGCCCCGCAGAGGCCACCTGGCAGCTGGACGGGGCGGCTCAGGCTCGGCCGCGCCCGAGGAAGGCGTCCTGGGTCTGGGACCAGGCTTGGCGGAGGGAGACGCGCACCTGCGGGGAGGCGGCACCGGCGCTGAGAGACGAGCAGACCTCGGGTGAGTGGGCGCTGTCCGTCCCCCAGCGCGTGACACTCGAGCCTCTCACGGCCGGCCCACGGTCACCCTTTCAGCCAAGGCGGCCCTGGGGGAGGAGGGCTGGGTGGAGCCACGGCGGCCTGCGGGGTGAGGGGGCAGCTGGGAGGAGCCATGGCTTTCCGCTGGGCATCTCGGAAGATGCAGAAAGGGCAGGCAGGCGGGGCATGGGGTCATGGCCAGGGCGGGCAGGGCATGGGGGTTTGGCCGGGGCAAGCGGGGCGAGGGGGCGTGGCCGGGGCCAGCAGGACATGGGGTGCGGCCGGGGCTGGCTGGGCGCGGGTTGCGTGGGCCTGGCTCCTCCTCCAGGCCATAATTTCCCGACGCGTCACCTTCAGGTTCGCTCTCTGGCCCCCTCAGGCTGAGCTGGGGTGCACGATGAGGCCCCACCTGAGGGCTGAGCTGGGGATCCCCGCTCTGTTCAGCCGGACACCTAGAAGCCCTTGGAGTCTGGGGCTGAACAGCAGGGACGCCCCGTCCTCGCCCTTCCCACCTTCCCAGCGTGCCCGGGGCCCTCCTGGCAGCCTGGCCGGTCCTCCCCGGGGACCCAGGTCGGCGGCCGCGCTGGCGGGACCCGCAGCTGGGCACGTGCCGGGGCCACGCCGAGGTGCCCACCCTATGCTCCCCCCGTGGGTCGCCCCGGCTCCCGTGGGCCGGGCCCCCAGGCCTGCTCTGCGTCCCGCGCAGTCAGGCGCCCCCGCAGCCCACGGTCCAGCTTGGGGGGGTCTCCCCGTTGGGGAGGGGTCGGCGCCCGAGCGGTGGCCGGCAGGGGGCGGGGCGCCTCTGGGGCCTGGTTTAGGGGGACCTCCCTGGGGCTGCTGGGACCGCGCGGGGCGCTGGGCGTGGGGCCACAGCAGCAGCAACACGCCTGCTCAGCAGGATGCGGTGTGTTGGTGCCCACAGCAGCTGGACCCTTGATACACGATTCGGGGGTGGACTGTGCTGAGAAACAGAAGCGGAGCCACGGACTAGGACCACGTGCACGCAGCCCTGCCCCCTCAGCGCCCCCCGCCCCCCTCACTATAAAAAGGCAGCTGGAACTGGAATGTTAAGGCGGTTTCTTTAGGGTGTCAGTTCCCGAGTTCCAGATTGCAGCCGCCTCATTGAAGCACAGTTTAAAGACTCCGCTCCCGGCTCTGCTTTACTAGCATTCGCTGGTGACAGGTCCCTGAACCCCAGGCTGCCGGTGCAACCCTCCTCGTGGACTTGTCCTCTGCGGCTCTTATGATAGTGAGGTGTGTGCCATGTACACTCAGTTTGCAAGGGTTTCATCATACATGGATGCTGAATGTGGCACATGTTTTCTCAGCATCAGTTGATAGGACGGCATGGTTTTCACTTTCTTTTTTATCGATTGGGTGAGTTTCATTGATGGATTTCCAGATCCTGCGCCATTTTCGGGTACTGGTTTAAATCCCACTTGGTCATGTTGTGTCATCTTTTCATTGCATTGTTGGATTTGGTTCATTAAGCTTTTATTGAGGATTTCTGCATCTGTGTTTATTTGGTGCACTGTCTCTAATTTTCTTTCTTTGTGTTCATGTTTGCTTTTGGTATTAGTGTCATGGGGACCTCATAAAATCTATCTGGAAATATTCCTTCTTTCTCAATTTTTGGAAGAATTTTAGCAGTACAGGAATTAGTTCGTCTTTGAACATTTGGTGGAACTCACCGGTGAAGTCATTAGGTCCTGGACTTTTGTTTTCTGGTACAATTTGGTGACTTTTTCAATTTCCTTGCTTGTGATTGATTTGTTTGGGTTTTCTATTTCTTCCCTATGTAGTCTGGATAATTCTCTAATATCTAAAAATCTGTCCATCTCATTTAGATTGTTGAATTTATACATTTTTTCAAAGAACCAGTTAATGTTCATATTGATCTTTTAAACTGTCTTTTTTCCTTTCTATTTAATTTATTTCTGCTCTGAATTTTATCATTTCCTTCCTTCTACTGACTTTTGAAATATGTTGCTCTTCTTTTTCAAGTTCCGTGAGATTAGACACAAGTTCTTAGTTTGGGCTCTTTCTTGTTTCTTGATGTGGGCCTATATTGCTATAGAATTCCCTCTTGGTACTGCTTTTGAGGTGTCCCACATATTAAGGAAGATTGTGTCCTCACTATTATTTATCTTAAATTAAGTTTTGATTTCTGTCTTGATTTTCTCATTAATCCAGTGACTTCTCAGTAGTGTGTTTTCAGCTCCTTGTATTAGAGACTTTGTTTTCTTTCTGTAGTTGATTTCTAATCCAATACCTTTATGGTCAGAGAAGATACTTGGTATGATTGAATCTCCATGAATTCATTGACATTTGTCGTGTCACTCAGTATGTGGCCAATCATTAAGAATGATCCTTGTACAGGGCCTCCCTGGTGGTGCAGGTGGTTGAGCTACACACAGTGAAGCTGTCTGCAGCCTCTGCAGCACAGGTTCAATCGTTGCTGGCCGGCAAGAATCCCACATGGTGCAGCAGACCTCTCCTGCCGTGCCTGATGCTCCCCTCAGCAGTGTATTTTGTCGTTCTGCCTGTTCTGTTGCTGCTTTTGCTCTAGTGAATTCTCTCACCCTCCCCCACTTCTGACTGTACCCAGTGCTTGTATAAAAAAAAAAAAAAAGAATGATCCTCATACACTTGAGACAAATGTGTATTTGGCTTTTGTGTATGTGTGTGTGTGGGGGGGGTGCAGTTCCCTATATATGTCTATTAATCCCATGTGGTTTAATCCTTTGTTTAGGACAATTGTGTCCTTATATATTTTCTATCTGGTGGGGTGTTGGAGTCTGTAAGGTCATATGTATTTTCTCCAGTGTCTGTTTTCAGATTAGAAATTAGTTGTCTAATGTATTTTGGTGCTCCTCTGTTGAGTATATATTGATGTATGTTATATCTTCCTGTTGTATTGTTTCTTTAGTCATTATTGTCCATTTCTGCCTCTTGCTACCTTTTAAAGTTGGAAGCCTATTTGATTTCATATCTCTGTCCTAGCTTTACTTAGGGTGCCATTTGCTTGTAGAATAGTTTCTTTCCCTTGTCTTTCAGTCTATGTTCATCATTGGGATTCATGTGTGTTAGCAGCAGAAGGTTGGATTCTGTTTCCAGTTCCAACTTCATACTGTACAGCTTTTCTTTTGCCAGTTCAGTGCATTGACATTTTATATAGCCATCATACTTATTTTTTTTCATTTGTTTTGTTTTAATTCTATTTAATTGCTTTTTCAGATTTTGTTCATCTCTTTCATTTTTTTATTTTTTAAGATTTATTTATTCATGCATACAATAACTGGGGTACAGGCTAGATGTGTGGGAGGGTGAGAGGATTCACCAGAGACAGAGTGGGGAACAGAAAAGGCAGATCTACTAAAATACACTGCTGAGGGGAGCTCAGCACTGCTGAGCGAGACAGGAGAGGTCTACCACACCATGTGGGTATCTACCTGGCTGTCTGGGATTGAAGCCACACTGCAGAGGCTGTGGACTGCTTCACAGCACTGCGCTCAACCATCTGCGCCACCTGGGAGGCCCCATCTCTTTCATTTAAATACAAAAATTCCTTTTAATACTTCTTGGAGAAGGGGAGGTAAAGACTGCAAACTCCTTGAGATTGTGTTTGTCTGAGAAGGTCTTTATTTCTCTCTCTCTCTTTGCAGGAGGGAGTTTTCTTCTTGGCAAATTTTATACAGGTGTATTTTGAATATGTCACTCCATTCTCTTGTTGCCTACAGTGTTTTTCTGGAGAGTCTGGTGTTAGTCTACTCAGGTTTCCTTTATATCTGTTTCTTTTCCCTTGTCAGCTTAACTATTTGTTTTCTTTATCTTGAACTCTGGTAAGTTATACTACTCTGTCTGGCTATAGGTTTCCTTTCCTCTAGTAGCTTTATTTTCTTTCATCTTCCTGTAT